TTCATTTATTGAGACATGCCTATGTCTAGTATAATTACACCAATACGCTCACACACAGTAAGAATCAAGACTGCAGGTGGTGAGCAATGTACAGTTATGCTCACTGTTATGGCAGATGGAAGACAACTGCTATCGTACATTGTGTGAAAGGCAAAAGACACACTGCCAAGTATTTTTTTGGATGCACAAGGAAACGGCTGGATGTAAGAAAATCTTGTATTGGTCTAGCTAAAAACACTCTGGAATAGAAAATCCAGTGGTTTTCTCAAACCTAACCTGGGCTTGTCAGTTTTGGACAATTTCCGATGCCACAAAATTTCATGAGTGAAGGAAAAGTTAAATGAGTTACAGAAGTGTTGTAGCTGTGGTTACTACAGGCCTAAAATAAATGCTCCAGCCTCTTACTATTACTGTTAATTGCTCCTTTAAAAGTTCATGCTGCAGACTTTATAATGATTGGATGAGTACAAAAAATCATGACCTTACAAAAGGAATAATTAAACATCCAAACATGAGGTATGTGTGAATGGATTCTAAAAGCCCGGAAAATTATGACATGCTGTGGGATACTGGTACCAAAGAAAGTGATACATGTGGGCAGGTCACTACTGTAATGGTTCGAAAATGAGAAGAGATACTAAACACAGAGACAGGTTTCTTTTGGCTGATAATAGAAATTTTATCTCAGTGTCTGGTAAGTACTGTCTTCATTTTAGCTGCTTTACCACCTCCAAAATGAAAAATAGTTGTAGATGGTAGACAGGCTAGCCTTGAGAATTTTTTTTCCTTTGAAAATTAGATGTAAAAATTCAGGGTGTGGCTTCTATATCTGCATGCAGCTTATACACATGAAAATATGGTATTCAAAACATTTGTAAAAAAAGCAGGTTGTTCAAATAGTTCAAAAAATGAAATCACATAAGTATTCAGACATTTTCAATAAGCATTTTATTTAATAAAAGAAATGAAAATAATGGGACATCTAATACTTCATTAGATAGATACCCTTTAGTTAAAATTATACTTTTCATGTACTTTGGCATGGATTTAACTAATTTTTTTTTTTTTTAATAACAGTGGTTTTCAAACTATGTGCCATGGCCTCTTCACAGGGATACTATGAAATACTGTAAAAGCTTCATAATTAACTGAACCAAGACATCTGGCCTAACTAAAACAAAAAACAAAATGAGAAGTTAAAAATATCTAGTTTTATTTTGTGTGATTTGTTTTCATTTGACCCTGTATAAAAGTAAAGTCACCAGCATAGAATATTCTAGTGAATGCAAGCCGGCAATGGTGACTTTCTCGAACGCGGCATATCATCCTGCTATACATCACGGCAATCTAACCTGAGAACATATACAAAGCTAGAATGACATTTTCCACACTGTTCATGGCTCATTCTGTAAAAAGCTACCAATAACTTGTCAACCAATAATGTCAAACTAATATGCCTTATCAAATAACTTTAGAAACCAATATTTGTTGCTAAAGTTAGCTCACTGTGGCATTTAATTTGGGTTACCTGCTCCAACTTTCAGAGGTTTTTTTTTTTTTTTTTTTACCCAGAACTGAAAATCCACCATTTCATTTCATGTGGTAAATTTTGTAAAATCTTGTACATTTAAAGCAAGTTAAAAAAAAAAAAAAAAAAAAAAAAAAAAACTGTGTGAGAATGCAGAAGCCAAACACTCATTTTTGTTGTACCACAGCAGAGCACAATGGCTTTTCGTGTAATGTTTTATTATGTACCTTTGAATTGTGACAAAGAAAATTTTATTTTCCTTAAAGAGGAAAGATGCAGAAGATTTTGCTGATGCCTGTTTTTTTTTTAATAAAACTGGCATATTTATGCAACATTTTTTAAAAGCTTAATTTCCTTATCTCTCTCTCTGCAGGAAAAAAACAAGCAACTTTAAAAGTCAACAGAAAAAATATCAACTTATATTTAAAAAAAAAAAAAAAAAAACTCAAACTAGAAGAAAATTTAGGTTTGATCCAAGAAAAGATATTTTTTTAATATTGCAACAATTTTCGACATCAAATAAACTTGTTCTTTCTCAAGATATAAAAATCATAATTGAAGGGAGCTTATGACAGCTAATTATCTGGCTCATGGAATCAAGATCCAATTAACATTAGTGCTCCATCTGAATTTATTTCTGTAGAAGAAGAGAATCGTATCGGCTTACCTCAAAATAACAGTTTGAAAGCAAAATTTGCCAGCATGGAATTGACAAACTTTCAGATTTCAATAAAAAATGAATATCGCCTTTTAAGTGATAAAGCTCAGTGGATTTTAATTCCATTTTCAATGTTGTATTTCTACAAAGCTGAATTTTCAGTGGTCACTGTAATTAAAAGCAAATATAGATCAAAAATCAATGTGGAAAATGAAATGGGGATGGCTGTGTCCAGCTCAACTCCATGAATTTAGAAAATATACAGTGATTTGCAAAGCTCATCCATTACATTAATTATTACTTTAATTACCACAGAATAAAAAATTAAAGAATGAAGACACATGAGTTTTATTTACTTTTATTTTTACTTAAGACCATTGAAAATTTTAATTGGAAAAAGATGACACGACTCCAAAAAAATTTGGGAACCACTGAGTAAGAATGCTTCATTCCTCATTAAAAATTGCTTTGACAGAGTTTCTGAAGAAATGTCAGAATATAAGTCTAAAAAAATGTCAAGGAGTTTTGATAACTTCAGGACATTTGTATATTAATCAGAAGCAAACATTTAGGGCTGTATGTTTAGGATCGTTATCCTAATAGAATTTGCACTAACTAATACATTCTGCATTCCAAATTTTCTTGCAGAAGATTTCAGGTTTTCACTTCGAATATTTATATATTTATACTGTTCCAATTTATTTACTACAAAAACTAAATTTCTCATTTCAGAGGCAGTGAAATATATAGAGGCAGTGAACCATAATGCTTTGCCCTTCACGATTAGCAGTAATCAATGTTTTTTTTTTTTTTTTTTAAATTTAATTCTTAATTTGTCTTTTGCCTCATATAAATTTATCCATTTGCCCAAATGCATTAAATTTTATTTTGTCTGCAAATACAACATTATTTGAAGATGAAAAATCTTTCCTTACAATGAATTTTGTGAATAAGTCATACTCTCTCTCATTTCCTTATTGACAAAGAATTCTCTTGCTGATTGCCCATTGTATCCATGTGTTCCAATGATTCTTCTGAAGAGTTTCAGGGAACTCTTACTGCAAGTTATTCCTCTAAATTCATTGCAAGTTTTGAAGTACTAATTTTTTGGGTTTTGTTGGTTTTTCATAGAATTAATCTCTGATTGTTTCATATTAGTTAGGAAAGCGGTTCACACATTAGTACATTTTGAACAGTTCCACGCAATTTCCATCACTTTAACACATAAAAAATAGTTGAATGCTTTGCATAAAAAATTTTGAATACTTAAATACTTTTATGATCTTTAAAATCACGAATAGTTAAATTTCGAACCGAAATTGTCTGTTATTTGCAGCATTTACTATGTTCACTTCAATATGAAACACTTTGATAAATAAGTAATAATTTCGAAATGTAGATAATTCTTGTGATATATTTTTATTTAATACAAAAATATACAAGAAGAAACACTGTCTTCCAAAACATCTCAATAAAATTTTTGAGTGCCCTAATTATTATGCGAGTTACTGATTATAACACTTTTACAAAAAATTACTTAATGCAAAAAAAAAAAAAAAAAAAAAAAAATTAGTTTGTAGCAAGCATGTCTTAAAATAGAGAAAAATAAACATATTAGAAAAAATTCAGAGTCTATGTTTGAATATTTAGTAGAAGATCTGTACATATAAATTTCAAAAATATGAGTGTCTGAAAATAAATATGAGCCACTATGTATATATATCCATCATTATGTACACCTTGCATAAAAAATAGGGGACAGTTCTACATCTCTCTTTCTACTGGACTGATTGTCAAAATTTAACTTCCATTTTCTATGTCTCGAAAGCACAACTTAGGATAAATATTAGATTTATATATACCATTGTTCTAACACAAATATTTTGACACAAAATCGGACTTTTTCTGAAAGAACATGCCAATTTTTATCTTGGCAGCTTTTTTCTTTTTTTCAGTTTGCACCATGAATACACATGGCGAACTTCTTAATTTATAGCAACCTATTTTCCTTTCCTTTTTTTCAATGTACATGAGCAGAAAAAGGTCATCATTCATACTTTTAAATAAATTTAATAAAGTGCATACACCACATTTGGCCTTATTATCACTTATAACAAATTGGCCAAATTTCAAAATGCGCCAATACATAAATTCATGCATAATTGAAGAAATTTTAAATTAAAAAACTCCAACTTTTTGCAGGTATGCTTAGAAATAATCTACTTTACTATGATGGTAAACATTTTATAAGTTATAATTCAAATTTTCTTTTTGAAAATTTTATAAAAATCATTTTAAAATACAAATTTTAAAAATAAATCATAAAAAATGGGGAATTTTATTTGGAATGAAACTAAATTTTGAAAGTGAAAGGAAGAATCAAATAAATTTAATAGAAAAGAGATATTAATAAATAAATATATGTCAAATTCAATTAACATGGAGAAGCTGAAATTTTGAGAGCTAATTTTTTAAAAACTACTCTGCGATTTTTACAAAACTTGGCACTTTGGCATAATTTGAGTCGCAGAATCAATATATGGAACAAAATTGGTATGTTATTCCAGAAAAAGTTGAATTTTGTGTCAAAATACCTGTGTTAGAATAATAATATATATAAACCTAATATATATCGTAAGTCACACTTTTGAGATATGGAAAACACAAGTTAAGTTTCGCCAATCAATCCAGTAGAAATGTCTTGTCTTTTTTTTTTTTTTTTTTTAATGCAAGGTGTACGTATATCATTATTATGCAAATATATATATCATTATGTGTATTTATATTATTTTATAAATAAAATTTTTAAAATACCAGAGTTTCAGCTTGTTGAACCAAGAAAAATCCTTTCTCCAATTCAGGATTGATAGTTATTATATCTCCTAAAAAAAAAAAAAAAAGAAAGAAAGACTAAAATGTGCAAATCATTTAAAATAACTTAGAAATAAAGAATAAAAAATTGAAGACTACTTTTTAAATAGATTTTTATTTATGCAATAATAAATAGAAGATAACTCAGCAATTTTAAGTTAGTCTACAGTTGCAAGTTCCACATAGTTTAGTATTCTTATTCAAGATAAATAGTAGGTTTTGACACTAAAATCACTTCAAAAAATGAAATTTCCATAATTTAAACATATAGTAATTCATGTATTAAGCAAGTTGCCCATGTATATATTTTTTCTTTTTTTACACAGAAGATAAATTACATTTCAGTATAACTAGTATCCTTTTTTTTTTTATTTTGAACTATGAATTTAAAGCATTATTCTGAGAAGGAATCAGTGGCCTCCACCAGCCTAGCAAAGTGATTTACAGAAAAAAAGGCTGTGATCCACATTTTATTGGAAAATGATGAAGGAATAAAATTTTGTTTCCATTTCAAATAATACTAGATAACTATTTGTAGAAAAGTACAAGTACAGAATAATTTGAATCATACTTTTTTTTTTTTAAGTTGAAAAGTCCATAAAAAAAAAAAAAAAAAAAAAAAAAAAAAAGGAGGTCCATGACATATGCTTATCGATTTTTGCACACAAAGAATATAGTCTACAATATTTTTGTTACAGTATTATTACCATATTAGCACATTCTCATCTTTGAAAATAAGAAAATTAAAAACTATTTAATTAGTGATACTTGATTATTTGGCAGATAACATGAATCATCTATACCATGTTAATACTCCTTTCAAGGAATACATATATATAGCTAATATTTAATATCAAATTTAACACTGGATTCCTGAAACATTTTCCACAAATACTGATATGTTTCATGTTTGAAAGTCAAATACTACTACAGCTTCATTTATACCACATTTACTTAAAATAATTTGAAAGGGCTTAGTAACCAATCCTCCTGAAACTTAATAGAATGTATGCAATTTTTATTCTTTTTAGTTATATATTATTTATAAATTTGAATATTTCTAATTAAATGCCATATTCCCAGAAAAAGAAATTTTCATACACTATTTTCTTCTGTAAAATTAAGTTTTGTGACATGTGTTCCTTTATCTAAATCCCTTCACAATTTAGTAACAAAATAATTTTATTTTAACAGAATATCCATAAAGCATATTACGGAAATGATTTCAAAATAAAACCACATACTAATTTTGATACCTCTAGACACCTACCAAGATTAGAAGATAACTGGTGTGTCGATGAATCTTGGTCCTTTGAATCCTTTTTAATCAAATTCTTCAATTCTTCAGCTCGACTGACATATTCTAATAGCTTAAAGAAAAATTAAATCACCTTGAAAATGTAAATTAAACAGGGATCATATGTTTTTCTTTAAATGGAAATTAAGAACTTTTAAGTACCTTTAAGGATCATCAACAAAAAAATTTAAAGATCTATCAGCAAACAGAACTGACTAAATAAAATTAGATATGAAACCACCTTCTCTTTCACAACAGCATTTTAAGAAAAAAAAAAAAAAAAAAAAAAAAAAAAAAACAGAAATATGACACATACCGTCATTATTGTTAAACAAATTCTAATATTTAACGCAAAAAATTTAATAAAACCAACTCTCTAAAATTATGCCAAAAAGTTTCCAAATAGTTAATATTTAATAACAGGGATAATATTTTGAACACTTATATTTTACACTTGTACTGGCAGAAAAAATTACAGAAACAACCATAAAAAAAATCATATGTTAATCCTACTAAGTGAAGTCGAATAAAAGGTGATTGGTTGGTAGTTCAAGATGAATGCTGAGATTCGCCTTCACTACACTGAAACGTGCAAAATTTTTGCCTCCATTCTTTTGGCATGTGTGTGGAAAGAAATGCACAATGGTGCTTTAAATTGAAATTTCAAAGATTGCATGAGTAGTTAAATAAAAGTTTTGTACATAGAAAGTGAAATATGGCTTTGCAAAGGCCATATTGGACTGTGAAATATGGATTATGAAAAATAGTGTGCCATTAGGAGAATAAGAGCAGGATAAATACTGATACACATCTATATGGGTATATGAGTAGTTCAAAGCATCATGTTAAAAATCTGGAAAACATAGTGATGTATGCAAACAAACAGCTCAAAAATGAAAATGTGCTAAAACAAACAGGCCATTTAGATGATTTGGTAACAATTTCTGAAAGAAATAGACAGATGGCTTTGAAGACGCTGCAAGAGAGTTCCCTGCATCCGAAAGAAATTGGCTATTCGAATAAACCAAGAACAACAGATTGCATGAAAAGGAGCTGTACACAAGGAAATTCAATGCCTATGTTCCACTAACTCAAACTGCAAAATGTGCCCAGTTACAATAGTGCAGAGATCACCATGATAGGAGAACCAGAGACTGAAGCTGAGTTCTGTTTCCAAATGTCTCTCATTTTTACCTGAAGAGAGATTCCAAATGTGTTGTAATCTGGACAAAGCAAAATATATGCAATATACTTGAAAACAATGATCAAAGCCATCAATACAAAGGTGGTGGAATCATACTTAATGGCCACACTAATCTACAAACTATGAATGCTGAACTATACAGAGATGAAGTTCTTGATTCTTGTATATCAAGGGTTTTAGTTGGTAATAATTAATTGGTAATTACTTCCTCTTAAAGGATGATAATCTTATGCCCCTTATACAGCACAAATGACAAATTATCTTGAGAGTGAAAGAATCCAACACATGGACTGACCTATATATTCTTCAGATTTAAATCAAAGACAGCATGCATGGAATGTACTAAGATACTGACTTGCATCACTGCAGCCTGCACCAAGCATTATCCTGGAACTTTCAAGGCATTATTCATCATGAATAATTTTTTTTTTTTTTTTTTTTTTTTTTTTTTTTTTTTTACCACAGGAACTCCAGGACAATCTAATGCCTAGCATAGATAATTGCTGTAATTTTTGCATTTTACTCAGGAGTGACACCTCCTTCTCTTCCTCTTTTTTTTTTTTTTTTTTTTTTTTTTTAAATAATCTCTAAAATGTGATAACAAAGAACTTTTTCCTACCTCGTTTTATATTGCTTTTTCTAGACTCTCATTGATTTTTATTATTATTTTTTTTTTAACAGAAATAGAAAATTCTGAATTTCAAAGATATGTTAGATACGACAAAATAAAGATCTTGCGCAAGGTCCATATTCTTAGCAACAAAGTTATTCACGTCGCATGAATTTTTATAATTATTCCTTTAATCCCTCCCCAGTGTAGTTCCACATATCTTAAAGAAGATTTATAAGGTCACAATTAAAAAGTTCTTTTCTTTTTAAAAATATTCGTTAAAAACATCATTATTCAAATCACAATCTAATGAACTTTCATGGTTTAAAATAACAGAAAATTATATATATAACTTATTACACAGGTTTTTTTTAAAAGACATTATAAAAACCGTACATTAAAAGATGAAAAAGCTGTATAACACTATAAAATACTTATGTCAGTTTAACCTGAAAGTTTTTAGGATATTTTCACTTGTTTATTTCTTTACCTTTATACTTTCCTAAATCCATTTATTCTAATAAATGAATCAATGTTCTTATTAGTTTCGAAGTTCATTTATTCTAATAAATGAATCAATGTCCTCGTTAGTTTCTGAACCATCTTCAAAAATGTCTGCTAATTTGTTAATATTCAAATAAAGAAAAAATTTCTTTTCGCTTTATGTAATAATTTTTTCCTCAATAGTTTGTCTCTTCACCTTTCAATTTTCAGATTCAATTAAAAATTTTATAGCTCTAACAAATTGCACGTATCTAGAATAGGTGCATGAAGATGCTAATCTTACTTCTTTAATAATTTCAGTGTTGAGAACAACTCCAGAAAACTTTACGAAATGATACAATACATGTTCAAATATACAAGATAAATCTTTTTAATAATCAATTTTCAATATCTTTATTAAAAGAGAAATTTTTTTCTACAGATGTCTGTCCATTTGACAAAAATAGAACCACTTTTGCAAGCTTCCATACTTTTGAATAGGAAAAAAAAACTTAAAATTAGGCATGAATGTTGTCATTTTACCTAATTTTAAGTAAAAAAGGTATTTTCTAACTATTAAAGCCTCCATTACTTAAACAGCATTATAAGCCTACTTGTTAGTAAATTGTGCTAAAGCTGCAAATCTAACTCAGAGTTCTTGCCAAACTGTGGGCAAACAATTGGCAGTCTTAGCCAGAATCACTTTTAATCCATTGAACATGAGAAGAGTTCTGAATAAGGTGGCCGAAAAACATAAAATAAAAAAGTACTTCCATAGAAAATTGAAGATAACTTAGTATTTGTTGCTTTTCTCAACAATTCTTTAACAAATATCATGACAAACCTATCATAATCTTGCAGTACATTGGATTAAACCTTTGAGGTTCGATGAATATTTTTTTTTTTTTTTTTTTGAAAAAATAACTTTTTGTGGAGCAATTCATAATGACAGAGATGAAGCTGTACTCTCCGACGTTAATTCACCCCTCCTCACTCCCGGCTAACTGTGATTGGACTTGATCCAAAAAAAAAAAAAAAAAGGAAGGAGAAACATTCTCTCCTTGTATGACTCACTTCTCGCGTTATGCAATGGGCAGTAAACAACGCTTGTAATCATCACTATATTTTTTTTCTTCTAATACCTAATAAATTTGTTATTTTGTGTTTGCTAATATAATGATCGTGTTCCTTACATCGGCAGCTTGGATTACTCTTTATTAAGATAAAAACTTTAATTCTGTTTTATTCATCTGCTCGTCTCGATTTACGCATAAAATATATCGAGATAAGCCATTAAGAATAAAAAACAGAAAAGATACTTTACCATAAATTATCGCTGGACAATCCGAAAAAGGAAAAGCCAAGCCTGTCTTCAAAAACGAAACAAAACTGCATAGTTGCGTACTGCGCATTTGAAATACAGAAGCAGAAATGGCTACTAGCTGTGAAAATAAATATTCGATCATGAAACTAAACAATAACAACTATCAAGTATGGAAATACAAACTTGAAATGATCCTGAAAAAGGAAAATTTATGGGATTTAATAGCAGATGATACACCAAAAGAAATAAACGTCAAATGGAGAAAACGAGATGAACAAGCACAAGCTACCATTAGTTTACTCATAGAAGACAACCAAATCGTACACATAAGAAATAAAACGACAGCCAAAGAAATATGGAATGAATTAAAGAAAATACATGAAAGAAAGAATCTTTCCAGTAAACTTTACCTTCTGAGAAAGCTGTATACGTTAAAAGCAGAAAACAAATACAAACTCAAAGAACACGTCAACAAGATGCTCGAAATCGTAGACGAACTGCGAGGAATCGGTGAAGAAATAAATGACAGTCACATTGCAGCGCTCTTACTAAGCGGCTTACCAAAAAGCTATGAAAATCTCATTACAGCTTTAGAAGCACGCCCAGAAGAAGAACTAACGCTGGAATACGTAAAAACGAAACTCATCGACGAATGCTTGAGAAGAAAAGAAGGCATGCGAACAGAAGAAATAACCGCCTTCAAAACGAATTTTAGCACAAAATTCAAGCATTTAAATCAACGAAGATGCAATTATTGCAAAAAAAATAGGACACTTAGAAAAAGAGTGCAGATTCTTAAATAACAACAAAGAAAAAGATAAAAATGAAAGTAATTCATTTTTTCAAGAATGAAAAGCAAACAAATAAAGGAAACTATGGAAATAAACAGAAAACGAAAATTGCTGTAAACGAGGATACACATGAAGATGAAAACGAAAATAAGAATCATGAGAAGACTGAGAATTACACGTTCGAAGTCACCAGAGAAAGAAAATCTCAAAACTCAAACTGGTCAGTTGACTCAGGTGCTACTTGTCATATGACCGATAACATAAACTTTTTCACCAAATTGGATAGAAGCAAAACTGAGCAGATAACAATTGCTAACGGCACGCAGATGAAGTCCGAAGGTATAGGAGAAGGATACTTATACTGTACAGACGACGAAGATAACGAAATAGAAGTGAGACTCGTAGATGTTCTGTACGTTCCTGACCTAGAAGGAGGATTGATATTCGTAAGAAAAATTACAAAGAAAGGATTCACAGTTGAATTTGAAGAAGATATTTGCAGAATAAAGAAGAAAAATAAAACCATAGGAATTGCTAAAGCAGAAGGAAATTTATATACCGTAGTTGAATTGCAAATTAGAAAAGCCAAAATTGCGACTGCAGAAAGAAGAGGAAATAGTATAGATCTTTGGCATAGAAGGCTAGGACACAGAAATTATGA